CTAGCCTCTCTCTACGGGCTTCTCCGAGGAGCCAAAATTCCTCTTGCAAAACACTCACCACTTTCAAAGGTCATAAATACACTGTGTCCAGTATTCAGCAAATCCATTGGAAAAGCAAAACACGCGCATGGAGCAAAAGCGCAGTTCAAACAAAGCCAGGCCATCAGATACGCACCGCGTAAAACACACAACCGGGGCTACATCAAAAGAGCTTTTACTACCTAGAAAGCTGCATCCAACTCCTAATAGGGTGCAAGGACGTGGTAACGCTTTGGCTAGAGGGTTTAAAGTAATTTACTTTTAAGTAACTCGCTTACTTCCCGGTGTTTCTTTTTCGTTCGCTAAGTGCGATGCCGAGGTGCTCGGAGAAGCGGGGAATGCGATTACCCCGGGACTCAAAGTCAAACATCAAAACTACTCAATGAAGCACAGACAAAAAACAGACTTTATCTGGGTGTTGTGCTTACTCCAAGAACTTCCATGCTGAAAACATCCCGGCCGAGTGCTAAAAGCCCTCCTGGTTCCAGATGAGGGAGGAGAGGGTGATGTGCCAGAAAGCAAGCGATGAGCCCCAAAGTCGGCTCCTCTTGTTACCTTGCAGACCAGAGATTTCTGCAGAAGGAAAACTCCTTTCTTGAGCTTTTTCATTTCCAGCTTTCTGCTCTCCCTTGGTAACAAGGTATTGGATGCACCCTTGCGAAACCCCCAGCCTTGCCGAGCATCCAGCATCGCACAGCGACGTTTCCTTCCCGCATCCCGCCCAGCTCCATCGCCGCTCGGCACCAGGGAGCTGCGGGCTCAGCCCAAGCACCACCTGCAAAGCAGCCCTAATCCCCGCAGGATGCGCCCGGCCAAATCCCGATAGGAAAAACCTTCTTCCAGCAGTGCTGCAATGCGCAGCCGCGTTACGCTAGGCAAGGTGCCCTGAGCCTCTGTGCTCGCTGCCAGACAGGTTGGCTTTTTATTTATTATTTCCTTCTTCTGCAATAGGGGCAGATGCGACTGTCCACGTTTCTCAAGCGCTCACAGCACAAGAGCGGCTTAAAGCACTAGCAGGGGATGTTCCTGCATGTTAAGGAAGGGAAGTCAAGGCTGGGATTACGCTGGGATTTCAACTCCCATCCCCGCTGTACAATAGGATCCCCAGGCAAGTCTCTCCCTGGCTGCCTATAGGAGGAAAGTGGCAATAAAAGGGAATCCTTCCCCATTTCGTCAGCCAGGATGAACAACCGCCTCGAGAGCGGAGCTGTCCCAACCAAAGACGCTCCTCGGGGCAGGCAGGTGTCTGTGCCCACCTGCAAAATCTCCCTGCTGCTCCCCAGGCAGGGACACGTCTCCGATTCCCAGTGCAGAAGATCCCTTTGTATTTTAGGCAATGATGAGGTTTGCTTGCCACCAGCACAGAAGACCTTCAGAGCCAAGCATCATTCCAGCACCCACAAGGACCTTCCCAATCTACAGCAAACCCCTGAACAGCCCCTCGCCCTCCCCAAAACTCATTTTGCCTCCCCAAATTCCCAAGTTGGCTCAACTCCGAATTCATTTCAGGACCCAACGGCTTGTATTTCATAACCCAGCAGGGTATGTTTATGAGCAGGTGCCGCTCGCCTTAGAAACCCACGTGCAGCTGCAGAGCCCATGCCGAAATCTGCCCCCGCAGCCTCCCCCGCGCCCCAGCGAGGGGCTGCAGCCTCCAGCATCCCTCGGCACGAGCCCCTGTTCGCTGGGCATCACGGGCACCTTCCAGCTCCTCCACAAGAGCTCAGGGCCAGCACCATCCATGAACCCAGCCCCAGCAAACCCCTGCAGGCCCCAGAGCCAAGTTAAGATCCCAGTTCCAAGCCCCAGCGCATCCCTCCTGCAGGAATATGGGCTTCCCATGCCGACCTGCAGCCCGCACAGGCGTTCTGCACCTTGGTTGCAGAGAAAACCCACGCCTGCATTTCCCCCAAAAGGACAAGTCCCAAAGGACCCCACAGACTTTCCCTAACTTCCCTTTCGGGGATGAATTCAGCGATTCATCCATCCGCGTGGCCGGCTCCGATCTCCCGTTACGGCCCACGCGCGCCGCCGTCCCGGGCTGCTCTCTGCAGGCACCGGGCGCGACGCTGCGTTCGAGGGCTGCGCACGGAAAACCTTTCCCAAGGAGCAACAAATTCCTCCCTAAAGTAAATTGGAAAATAGATGCGCTTTATTTCCCCTTGGCAAACCCGAGCTACGGAGGAAAAATGTTTAATATAAAAACATCTGACAAAGCACCTCCAGGATGTATTTTTTTGCATCAAAGAAGTAGCTCTTGGCAGCGCGCGCTCCGCCGACAAGAAAGCGCCCGGGCCAAGCCCTGATTGTTCGCGAGCTCCGAGCGCGCCGCGCCAGCTCCCTGCGAGCTAACTCCGAAAGAAAAGGGAAACCAAAACCAGCGCTGGCCCAAATAAACATCTGTCTGTGATTAAACTGGATGCACAGATACGCTCGGCTCTTGCTTTAAAACAAATTTATGTTTTAAGGACAAGCCGGGGAGAGGGGGACAAGGAAGGGAAGGTCCTGCTTGCTGCAGAGCCCCCGCGGAAAGTGCCTGCCCTGCTCTCGAGCAAAATAGCAGTTTTTGCTTTTAACAGGTAATTTCACAATCTCTCCCCGAATCTGGAAAGGGGAATGTTTGCCCAGTTTCCGCACGTATCCGCCTTACATATTTATAGGCTTTTTTTTTTTTTCCTCCCTAACACAGAAGATCTTCATAACTTTCCTTGTTAGCATAAATCTCTGCAGCCTGTTATTTCTGT